TTTTCTTCATATTAAGATACAATCTCTGTCCTTCATCGATTGTTTGCTCAACAGACTCGACTAAATATATTGGCGAGTGTATATATCCCTATCTCTAAAAATATTATAAAAGGTTACCTTTGAACACACATACACGGTTTTTCACACAGGTCGGACATGCTATCGATTTCCCATTACATTCCACAGATATGTACCATATATTGTACATATCTAATATCGTGCATGATATTATGGTACAGAGTGTTTATGAATCGCGAGCTTTCAATGTATTCGCGATAAAAATAAACAATTTTCTCTCGAGTCTCTTGAGTGAAAAATATTTATACATCGTTTAAAAAAATTGAGAACGAATAACATTCCACAGTCCGCTGAAATATCGAGCATTATGCGCAAAAATTGCTATCCCTTGTGCATTTTCCGGAAACTGACATCGCCTACATAACCGTAAAAGAGTTCATAGATAAATTAAATATATCCTATGATTTTGGATGTTGTACATTCATATTCTCTAGGGAAAATAAGAATATATGCGATATAAAAGTCAAATGCATCGCTGCAGCATGTGGAGAATGCACTTTTCTCTCAACAGAGCAATGAAAATTCGAGAATCAATATTCACCGTGTGTCATCACAATGTACCCCAGTGTCGTTCCCGTTGCTCGGTCTATTTTATTTTTTCTCTGCATATATGCGCTACAATCGTGCGTCGGTTCTGGTACACAAAACCAGAGAACGACAGAGATAATTTCGTTGTATGTTGGCGTAACAACTCGGGAAGTGGAAATATGTGCGAGAACGACCATATAAAACAATTAAAGCAATGCACGCAATTTTGCGATTTATATTGTTAAGTCAATCAAACTAAACATTTTTATCTTATTATTATACAACTACAGAGTTAAACTTAAACTCGTATATCTTAATCCAAAAGTGCCAACAAGTAGCAACGAAAAGAAAACTTCTTTTTAGCAAAGATTTAAAAATCGAGAAGATTTTACATAAAAGAAAGATAAAAAAAGAAATAATAAAAAAACAATTTTTGTAAAATAAAGTTCAGAGAACTTTTTTTTAGTATTGCAAATATATTTATATATCGTATTCTTTAATATCGCTTTTCCATAGATTTCAGAGTATATAAAATGTAGAATTATAAAATAAAAATAGATATGTGATAAACGACACAACCAGAATATAACAAGAATTCCTTAGCAAGCAGAAAATAATATGACAATTGATCGGCGCATTATAATAGCGCTGTGCTAATCGCATGCATCACCTAGCTAGACGGTAACGCTACCATTCGCGCTTTTATAGAGTGTCGTTCACGTAGTTACACGAAACAATAGTAGTCGCTTCGTATTGGATGCAACAGTCGATCCATTTAATGGCTCTGCTCCCATTTTAACATGTAACATCGTCGAGCTAAAGATGTGAATATCAAATGAAACTGCATTTTATCTATTATGTTTTTCAAAAGCGACTTTGCTCTCTTTATATTTTCGCCAAATTTTTTCTACAGATTGTTTGCAAACTCTTTTGGATTATTTTCTCTCAAATACTAATATTATTACTAATTTAAATACATATTTAACGTATTTTCATCGTGGCATTGATTATATCAGCAAAATATTATACTTTAATTATATCGTTTGTTTAAAATAATACTTATTTTAAATCAATGTCTATATATTTTTTTATTTTATATGTAATTTAATTATTTACTATCCAATTATCTAATTATTTTTTAAATTTAGTAATCTTTCATTATTTATCCAGTAAAACCTATAAAAAAATCTTCAAAAGAGAAAAAGAAAATTATAGAAAAAAACATTGATTATTTTATATTATTATTTTATTATTTTAAAATAAAATATATATTTTATGTCGACGCTCAATCATAGTTAAATTTTATCGTAAAAATATATTAATAAATGTACATATATCAATACAAGAGAATTGTTCTTGATTGTATTAGACTTTGTGTTATAAACGATACAAAATATCAGTCTGTCACTTCAAACGATTACGATGGAAATCAATATATCCGGGAAATGTAACCTATTGTGTCACATAACTTCATAATATATATTCATCATTTTCTTTTTTATCTATATATCTATATATATGTGTATATAAATATACATAAATATATTATGTATATTTATGTACATAATTATATATATATATTTTTTTTTTTCAGATTATATTACATAGTTGACAAAACGAACTAATATGCGCATAGCGCGTAAAATATCTTAATAACATAAAAATATAATTCATACCGACATATGCTAATATCTGTATACAGGCCACCAATACACACACAAAATATATTTATTGCAAAATTATAAATATTATTCAATCATTGAAATTAATTGTTTTTTATCAATTTTTTACAAGATCTATGCGCATTATGTGTTGTGCATATATTAATTTCATTTTATCCATCACATTTCTTTTTCTTAAGCATAATATAGCCTTTTAACAAATATGAAAATTTTACGTACGTTGTGACATACATCGATGTGTTCCAGTGGACGACTTTCGTCGCGTTGTTGACTCACGCAATATTCGAAATTTTCACCTCAATCGCGTGCACTCCGACAGCTCGTTCGACGTCGCTCGCGTGATTCCGCGTCATTGCACGACATCGGCTTTTTCTTTTGTTATTAAATAAGACCAGTATTTATATGCCCAGGCTTAACATATTTGACTGAGCTAGTCCATCAACCAAGCAAAGCATATGTTTCACGTCGTATTGTCAGATTATCATGGCCCTGCTAGGTCAAGGATGCGATTTAGTCTGGATTGATTTGCATGAATTTTATATATGTCGCCATTTCATATAAATCTCTGCTATGACTTATGTACGCAGTGACTATAGATTATTTCAAAATATTGCGCAAACAATATAATTACCAACGTAACGAAAGTTCGATCATATAAATCCTTTTGCGTAAAATGTCGATTATGCTATATGCAAATGACTATATACAATGTTGTTTGTCTTGAATATCATTATGCTAAACATATTCAAAAATGCAAGCAAATCAGCAGTTATATAATAACAGTAGATATAGTATTTGAATAATTTCCAACGAAATATATTCAGTAACAAGTCTATCATAGTCTTATAATCTTTTATAGGAAACATAGATTCATCAAATAAAAAATCTAATAGTAGACTTACATGATGCTTTCTCGTGGTATTTAATGTGTTAGTTCGCAATATTCTAATTTTGAATTAGAAATAGATAATTATTTGCAATATATCTAAAATATTCTACATCATAGTATATATTAAGGAAAATCTTTTAAATTGAATGAAACTAATTGATTATGTTACAAATGCTAAACAAATTTAAATTATCGTATAAATCGTGTGGAAAAATAACAATTCCCAAAGGGAATTCGCAGCAATCGTACATTTTGCCATTCGGCTGGATTAAGGTGAAAGAAAAAGGTTGAAAAAAAGTCTTGTCTTGAAGAGAGAACAGTTTCCCAAGGGAATTTTTTTTACTTCAATTTTGTCCCCGATGAAAGTTCATTTCCTTTAGCCTTGATATTCTCAGTGAAGTAGGGAACACAAGCGGAGAACGTTGATTGTATAAGACGCGCCGCGTGATGTTATTACCTCTCGATAATGAGCAGTCCCCAGTGGTAACGACAACTTGGCGAGGTTGCTTGAAATTCAAGAGGGTCATTTTGCCAAATGACAAATCGCTTATCTAAACGCGTTTAAGCGACAACCTCACTCTCCTTCCACCGCAGGTTGCAAGTACATTCTCACAAGACTAATCAAACGACCTTGTATATAAAACACTATTTTGCGAGTTTTGATCTTTTAGAGTGATGAATGAGCAATACGTATGCTACAGATATAAAATAAAAAAGCTACATTCTCACTAAAAAAATCACTAAAAAAAATGAATGTAACAAAATTTATTTGGCTTATAATTTAATCGTTACAAGCTATAAATATAACCGAACAATTATATTTTATATCATAAATAAAATTCATTTGCAAAGTGTTTGCACATACTACAAGCAAATATGTTGTCAAAATTAAATTTGGCATAAAGATTAATTTTCATAAATTTCGTCAAATATAGTTTACACACACGCAAAATAAAAAAAAACATTTAGTAAAAACATTTAATAAATAAAGTGTTTGATTAAAAAAATAACCATAAAATTCTGATTCAGAAATTAATCATATGTGACTAATTAATTGCGTGAAGAGAATATTTTGTATATAAATTATATGATATTACGCAATAAACTAATTAATATTATCAATTAATATCAATTATGTCATTTTATTAATATCACTTTGTGTCATCGATGTCTATTCCAAATTCTCTAGTACATAAATCTTTTAAAGCTGTTGGAACTTGATGAAACGAATAGCGTTACATAGTGTGTATGTCAGCAGGAAGAATTTAAAAGCAATATATTGTAACCATAAAAAAAAATAAAGTGCAACAAAATATAACAAATCGTTACTCTTAAAAGTAACTTAAATATAATATTTTTATATAAAAAATATATATTTATATAATTAATTTTATAAATTTTCATTATTAATTTTAAATCTTTATCTTTTTTTTCTTGCAGATATGCGTCATGCGTAGAGATTCTAGAACGCAACTTTTATTTGAAGTTTACAATTTCTCCCAAGAGATAAATAAATGTAATTATACTATCTAAAAATTAGCAATTCCATAGAAACTTTTAATTCGAGATCCAAAGTTGTAATAATATGTTAAAGTTATAATAAAATGATCGATGCATGTAGATTGTATTCACATTAATTACGTGACAGTTTTTATATGCGTAAACAATAAAAACTATATAATAAAACAATAGTCTATATACTAAAATTTGCAAAACCCAAGAGACCACTAACGGTACGAAAAGTCATATTCATTCGCAGTCTCGTATTCCATTCTACCCGAATGCTAATCTATCCATTTTGAATAAAAGATACCTGCGCTTACCATTGTGTGATAAAATCCGTGCCAATGGTGAAGATTGGCGCAGAAGTACGGTTGACCTCAGTGCCATTCAGGCTGCTTTCGGTGCCGTTCATCTCCATTCCCATCAAACCGAGGTGGCAGCAACTTCAAAGTCACTGCGCCCTCTCCTCCTCAATACCCAGTCATCTCTCGGACATCCTAGAAACACGAGCTATGATAAAAATATAGAATATATTTCAAATGCCGTTAAAGATTGGGAATATCGCATTTTCTTTTTGAATATATTCAGGCAATGAATTTCTACAATACATAAAACATATATTTCTAATGGCAAACATTTGATTTAAAGACTATTATTTTGTGTTTTAATACTTTAGACATTAAAATTTGCATTTTAATAAAGAAATGTGAACATTTGTAATTCTATAAATTTTTTTTATTAATTTATAGAATTTATTAATTTATAGAAACGTAAATTCTCTCTCTCGCTCTCTCTCACACGCAAGTAATGGAATTTTTTATCATAATAAAAAGATTGAAATCGTTATCATTATATCACAAGCTTAAGACTTATTGGTATTAAGATTAATCCAAGTTCTACTGTCGATAATAAATATCTACAAATGGCTGCGATAGAACTGTCAAGGTCAAGCAAATAAAATGCAAAAATCTCCCTTCGCGTGTAGCACGATGGACGGATTCTTATGATTATGTCCTGGAAAATATGGTCATTATGGAAACATAAGTATATGTATAATACTAGCAATATGTAAATATTATGAATAAAAAGCGTTATTTTCCATTTAATTGCTTGCATTTAATTTAAAAGAGAATTTTATGTTTATAATTTATATACCGAATATTTTATATATATATATATATATATATATATATATATATATATTTTTTTTTTATTTCAAATTATATGCTGTATATATAACATAAACTTGTTTAATAAAATTAATTGTGAGTTTTTTTACAGTAAATTACAATATGAAATATATTGTTTTCTTCATAACTGTGAATATAATAAAATACAACTAAAATTGCAGTACATACAGATATCATTAAATATATATGATCCGGTAACTACTACTAAACTCTCATTCTAAAATATACTTCGTGCTACATATTAAGACCTCACATAAGAAATTTAATTTTTACCAGTCATGCCTCGGTTAATAGTACTTCAACGTCAATAGTACTACACTGCAATGTGTCGCACTGGACCAATAACTTAATGCTATCAAAACGTTTTCTAAGTAGCAAACATTGATTACTATGTTTGTGATGATTACTATGTTTTTATAAATTTACGAATTTTTTCTCATAGAAATCTAGGAAATGAAAACTAGAAGATGAAAATTTTTGATCCTAATGTGTGAGTCGCCAAAGAACTTGCTTGTTTTATTTAAAATCCCATTTAATGAAAGGCATCATTTTTAAACAAATTTATTTCCTTGAAAAATTGATATAAAGTAATATGATAATTGAATCATTGAAATTAAAAGAAAAGAATAAGAATATAACGATTTCTATAATTTGTATTTATTTGAAGATATATGTATCTAATTTTGCTTTTAAGCAATAATTAATTATAAGTAGATTAGTAGTGGTAATAATAACGAAAAGTGATGCAATTTTACTTATGCTATCTTTTATATTCATATTTAGAAAAATGTATATGCGCGTCATAATTGATAAACATTAATATACATATTAAAACGCGATACAAAAGGAAGCGTATGATTTATATTATTACATTGAACCGAAAACTGCATTTGAGATATATTATAAGATTACTTCATAATATTTAATTAACTAAATTATAAGATTACTTCATAATTTTTAATTAACTAAATGCACACATAAATTTATGTAGTACAATAATGATACATATATGCTCTTTATATGTTCTTCAAATATGCATTATTTATGAGAGAAACTGTTGCGCACGATTATCGAGTTAATTTTAATCCAGAGATCAAACGCGCTTGAAATGGATGCATAATATTCAATATAGTTGCGCCGTAATACATCGGTGAAATTAACCGAACATAGTTTTCGTCAAAGAACTGTGACGTTACAATTACATTTCATACGTAGTAATTTCTTTCTTTGCTAGCCTATTACTTACATAATTAAAAGCAAATAATGAACCGCAATGTTATACTACAAAATTTATTATATAACTATCTTTCCCGATTCTTCAACAAAATGTGGCATTCATTTGTAATACGATCGATAACATATTTTCCATATACTGACGCAAAGAAGTATACATTATGCGCAACTTGATGCATATTTATAAGTTTAGTAGAGTGACACGCAATATTTATCAGATTGACAAAGCTTCTTTCAGCACATTATTTTCTTTATTCCCGATTTACGATAACACGACTACATGATGATATTGTTATCTGTCAATGATGTGATAAATTAAAACGTTCTAGAAATACTTACTATCTTTTAATAAAAAACGTTAAAGCCTTATGTAATTTTGAAAAATAGCATAATCCATAAACAAAATTGATTTGCAAATTAAATACAATTGCACAAAAGAAAAGGATTCATCTCGACCTCTTAACGAGACCTCAATTAGCATCGGCTATTATTATTCAAGAATATCAGATTTCTTGTATACTTTCGAAATAAATGCTCCATAACTTTTCAATTAATACTATTACATTGTAATTGCAACATACACATACATTTTTCATTTAATGTAAATTATAAAGTATAAATTGTATTATTACAAAGTAATGAAAAGATAGAATTTTATGTTGAAATTACATATTATAATCTGTCAAAAGCCTATTTACAAGTGAAATATATCCCAAATTTAGATGTAACCTTAACATAATCAGTATCTCTAGATTCTAGATAGTTAAAATAATTAAAGGATTGCGTGCACAAAGCACATTTTTTAGAGGACGACACTGTCAGCCATTTGTACCTGACATGGAAATCGCACAGATCATACTTCCTTGTTCACTAATTTTAAATCAAGACGTAGGAAATGTACTTAATCTCGCCTTTGAGTAAATTAACTAGTTTGGTGATTATATATAAATATAATACAATATATAACTCTTTTATTATTTATATCTAAATAAATACTAATATTATTAATTTATAAATTGACATAACAATTGTTATTTTTATTAGATATTGATGATTTGCTGTATTAAATAAAAGCTATAAAATGTTATTATTTGAGCTAATTTTTTATTTTAATTTTAAGTAAAACCTTTTATTTTTGTTAAACATATTGTGTAATATACTATATAATATATAAAATGTTAAATAAATAAAATGTGCAATACAAATAGAATGTAATTTGATTTAATAATATTATATTCATATATGAGCAAACAGTAAATAGTAACTTAAATTTCCAATATGCATTATTCCAAAAATATTTTTTTAATAAGTACTTATGAGTATAATTAATGTCACGCTTAAAACTAAAAATCAGCATATTTGATACATTTTATCATTTTCATCTTCGGATTTTTGCCTTGCTTAATGCTTGTTCTCCTTGAAATGGGGATAAATTTGGACGAGGACGAGTATAACGCGGTACTTTAAGCTTTATCAGTCTGCAAATTTATGCAATCCCCGGCAGCTTCCCTTTCTTTCATCTTACAACGTGAGCGCTTTGTTTCCGCCTACTCCTCACTTTCTGCGATTTACGCGGGGAGAAATATCGCGAAACTTTTACGTCAATCCTGTTCCCCTGTGCTTATCGCCTTCGAGTCGCGCATTTATTTTCACTTGGATGGGAATCAGAGATACCTATATTTTTTCCAACCGCATAGATTTCGTTGGTAGTTTCTTTCCACCGGATTCACAACGTCGGGCAAAACGACTTGCGCACGCAACAGGAAGCGTAGGAAATATGTGGCTCACGAAACAGAAAATAATGAAAACGAGACGAGTGGATCGTAGCGTATATTTTCCCGTCGAATGTTTCATAGTGCAAATCTAAGAGAAAATTATCAGCCATCTCAATTAAGGAGGAAGAAGTGCGCGTGACGGGACATCACGCAACTGACATTTGCTCAAATAGTCTCTTTTAAAATATCGTTTGAAAAATTTCAATCTGTAAATACTTTGAATATTAAAGCGGACAATTTTTAGATGTAAATAACTTTCATGGTATTTCCATTATATTTATTTTTAAGAAAGCAATCGATAATATAAGAATTCTACTAATTTATTATCTCTAATATAACTTATTATTTATTTTCAACAAAATATTTACAACAAAAAGATGGGCATATATTTCAAATGCATTTTTTATCTATATGAGATATATTCATTTATGATGTCATAAAATCTATGATCCTTAAAACATCTAAAATTATCCTTTCTTCTTCTAATTTTAGAATTCTGATTTTGCAGTATATATTGTGTAGATTCCCAGATTACTATCTTGGAATAATTCAAGGTATTAATGGCTTTAATTTTAAGCCACTTAAGCTAAAGCTTTCATTCATTAAAACAATGATTATTACATTTCTCTAAAAATTATCTTTACAAATTATAAATTTCTCAATACGAGATACTAAATAAAACATTGATTATTCGAATATTTTGTGGTAGAAGCATATCTATATCTTTTAATTATATGCACGTAATCCAGAAATGGGTAAAATTTTCTATTTAAATGTTAACTACAGAATGTATTTAAGCATGTATATATTTAAATTTTTTTTTCCTTTTTTTGGTTTTTTTATGGAGAGCTTATTTAAGCTATTATTTAATTTATTGATTTGTACACTGTTGATCCGACAATTTACGCAGAAACTTAGTGCTATCAATCATGTTTATTGATACAGTGCAATTAACATTCATTTATTTATTTCGTGTATCCGGGTATACAAGTTGCAGAAACAAAAAATAGCGTGATTCATCATCCGAAGTATCTCCGCGAATAATTCATCAGGCGTCGAAAAATATAAAGTTAACGTTCACGTGAAGTAGCTTATTAATCAAATTTAATCAACGCGAGACCCAGTTGTGCATGATTGGTTAATGATTCATACCAGAAATACATATTAAAATATAATCTTGTAATATATATTTATTAAAAAATATTATAATATTTCAGACATTTATGTAATATTTTTTAATAAATGTGCATATTAATCTTTCCATGCCAAAGATTTATGTGTGTGTATGTGTATGTGAAT